GGAGATAATAACATGCGTATGATCACGTTCTTACTTATGTAGTTAATAGTGTTTAAACTAATCAATTATATTCGATTTGTTTTCATGTGGTTCTGATTACATGTGTAATTTTATAAAATAAATGAAAATATAATATAAATCCCTTTATAAAAAAAAAAAGGGAAACGATAGTTTTGCATTAATAAGAGAGTGACTCTTTTGTAGTAACAAAAGAAATGTAGAGGTGGGTCAACAACCATGGAATGCAGGTTTAGACTAATAAGATATACGTTAAAAATCCACTCTACCCTTGTGTTGGTTTAGACGACTGGATTGTGTAATGTGCTTACATAGAAACAGTGAAGTTTAAATTCAAATACGTAGATCTGTAGGTAATAAATAGGGTTTTAAAATGTAAAATAATTTAACAATTGGACTCATGATTCAATGAGAGATGGGCAAACACGGTAAACCAGAAAGCAATGGACGGTCGTTTCGTCCTATTGTGAGACACCTCATCGATGCGAATTCACAATCTCGACTCGCGACATTCGAATCCAGGACCTATCAGTCTCGCGCGCGAACACTTAACATCTAGACCACTAAGCCGGCAGCCAATGGTGTCATTGTCTAATTTCAACTAATCCACCAAATTGAGCGACACATCCACCATTGTCTTCAGTGACTTACAATCTAACAACAGACCTGGTTGAACTCCACTGGTCACTGCTTCTCATTAGAACTCCAGGAAATACCTCTTGAAATCAGTTACTAGAGAGCATATTTTGATTAATATCAGAAGGTAGTTTTGTAGATATTATAGTATTTTTTAATAGTTGAGACCATGGGTCGATTGAAGCTAGAACACCATGGAAAATGTTGAATCATCGGAAGACTGTTTCATCCTAGTATTGGACTCCTCAGCAGTGCGCATCCCCGATACCACTCGCAGGATCTAACTTACTGCAGTGGAAGATGATCGCGCAATGTCTTAAATTGGTTGAGGTTAGATATTAACACTGTTGGATGCCGACTCAGTGGTCTAGAGGTAGGCGTTCGCGCGTGAGATTGAAGGCCCTTGGTTTGAATCGTGATCGTGTATGTGCACTGCTGAGGAGTCCAATAATACGACGAAACGTTCATCCAGTGCTTCCAAGTTTCCGATAGTGGTCTAACATCAATCAGTTCACGATCTCAATCGAAAACATAAGAAGTAAATAGAAACTTTTTCAATAAAATTTGTTTAAGAAAAGAAGAATCCTCTTACTTGTCAATAAAATGCTTGACATGTTCAACAGGAAAGGTGTATAGTATAGGTCAAAAACCTTCAGTACATCTTTATTTCAAAGTGTGTGTGTTGAATTTAGTATTGAAGAAATTTTTTTATAGTTTTGTTTGCGTAGAGCGATGTATAAACTAAGTAGGTGGTTTTTATATCTGATAAAATATCACTCGAGAACTATTTTCAAGTTTGCAAATGTCTAATCACAGCCACATGCTACAATTTAAAGATTGAGTAGTTGCTCTACCAATAGCCTTCAGTTTATTGACACTTTATTATTACATTTTAATTTATTAACGAGCATTCAAATATAAACACTATTACACTAATTTTCTTACCAGTATACACATTTTACATGAGAAATCAAATAAATTTAATCATCTAATAATGTTATACTTCATATTTATTTATTTAAACATATAAAAATTGGTAGAAGGAGGCAACAAAGGGGAACCGAATAGATATGCGCCACGTAAACATTCGATTTGTGTAAGGGCTGGGATATTAACCGGGTGTCTAAACAAAAACAGGTGGCTTCTTTATGGGGCCACACCCCAGGCCTTTGATCTAAAGGTCTGATCCAACTGGCACTGAGGAAACGCAATGAGATGCAGTCCCATGGTAGCCGGTCACCAAGAATTGGTTCATAAGCCATTTATTCATTCAGGTTATTGGAGCCCATGTGCATCATTGGTTTGAATGAGGGTTTTCCAACCCCCTAGGTGGAGTCTCTGTTTCAACGAACTAGGTTAGAACGCGGAACATTCACTTTTTGTCCTCTCGATTCCTTAAACAACACCTGTGGTGCGAGAATGCAATGAGTAGGACTTTCCTTGCAGTGGTTATATGCACGTGGCCATGGGAGAGCATTTGGAGAGGGTGAGCTGACTCTCTCCACTCTCAGCCGTACCAGGGCATTTGAGGGCTATTCTCCATAAAATAATTACATAAATGAATCTCATTGCAAAACTGACCAAAGAAAATTATTCAATAATACATTTCTAATGAAATTGTTAATATGGATATTACAATAATTTAACTGAAAGTGTTACGTTTTAAGAAAATCTATCTTGTTTTATTTACAGATTTTTTTTAAAAGATTTTAACCATCTTGTTAATGATGACAATGATAAAAGTTAGATAATTAAACTAAATAAGAAAATCATTATATGTGAAAATTATATTTGAAATATTCTCAGCGATTGAAATATAACTAATTCCAACGTTTCGTCCAGCCAACTTGTCTGGACTTCTTCAGGGTAATAATCGAAGTCAAAATTATCAAAGACATATATAGCTTTTAACAATCAGGATTATACTGTGTTAAACCAATCATCTTTGGATGTTGATTTTTTGTAAAATAGGATCAAATGAGTCAGTTAACTACAATTCATGTGAAAGATTCAACTACATAGAAATAATTAACTGAGTAACAAATCGTATGTGTGTGAGTGTGCAGGTATGTATGTATGTGTAAGAGATTGATATGAAGGCATAAATACTAACGTTCAAGTTCAAGGATGAAAACTTGATAATGAAAGATCGATGTGCATGTCAAAACATAAATTGTATTGTTTAGAAAGCTCATTGAATTCTTTCAAAATAATAACGATGCATGTGATATTAGAAACAGGTTTAAACAAGAAATAGGTTCCAAATTTACTTGTCAAACGAAATTTGCCATGTAGTTGCCAGGTGAATACCATATTTTCGGTTCAGGCTGTTCTTGTTCGCCCATATATGCAGCGCTTCTGCTGTCAATCTTTCTTTATGGGTGTTAAAACCTTTCTGAAGTATTTTGGTCCCTTCGAAATTAATCTTGTGCCCTGTTTCTAACGCATGTAACGCTATCGCTGACTTGTTTTCAAGTTTCTTTAAATTCAATTTGAATAAAATATGGTTCAAATAATGTAATAGTTCAACAATACAAAAACAAATAGTTTACATTATCTATTATAGAAAACAATATTCTATAATGTTTCGAATTATTTGAATTATAGCACGAACTAAGAATCCAAAAAATAACGCAATTGAATTAAGAAGACACAAGCACTAACGAATATACTGTATTTGGAATTCGAAATTGTGCAATCAACATGTACAAAAGTATAATTAGTCAATTCAAACACCACATCTGCCACAGCTTAAATAGAAGTATAAGTGTTTGCAATCGGTTGTATGTTTTCTTGTTAAGTTCATCCTGAGTCTTTCCGACATTGTACTGGATGAAAACTTTGTAGTATCTAGAATGTGCTCATTAGTATTGGAATTAACAAACCAAATCGGAACAGATTCACCTGGAATTGTATACAATCAGCATGTCGGTTTTGTACCGAAATCATTAATATCTAGAATTGGAACCATAGATTTTTCAACGCTATCCCCCCCCCCACGAAATAATGTTGGGTCTTTATATTCCCAAGTTATGAATAATGTGGCTTCATTTAAAACATATTTCTCACATTGATTAGAGTAAACGTTAGAAGTGCTTTTGTGATAAGGATGAACAACAGTTGATATGAAATCATCAGAATTGTAATCAAAACCGAGCTCATTTAGTATTCATGCTTTGCATTGAACAAGTTTTTCACAAGGAGCAAATGCATTATGAGGATAGGTAATACATATGACATCAGGATTTGATTCTACTGAAATATTTTCATGAAATTGACTAAGAATGTCATTGCAGAGCAATGGATCATTAGAAAAATTAGCATCTATCATGACTGTCTCAGGTTTTTGATAATGACTAGGTTCATTTAACATATTTTCCTCAGATTTGTAAGAAATTTCATCAGAAATATGTGAATCATTAGGAAAAGTCATACCTGGTACAATAGCATGAGAATTCTGATAAATCGGTTGATTAGGAACTGTTGTCTCACAAGAATTCTGGATTTCATTTAACTCTGAACTGCTTTTTGACTCTTCACTGTCTATTGCAATCGTTGATAAAGATAAATCATCATTATAAACACTCGACTCAGTAGAATCAGAATTACAAGACTTAATATTAGTTGCAATAACATGAACATTAGTATTGCAGACTGACTGAATATATCCAATATCATCACATTTGAAGCATTTGGAATTACGAAATTTACATGAATTAAAAGCATGGAACTTGCTACAGGACAAACATTGACCAAACTTGCGCCAGTCTTCGTGAAACACACTGTAACTCCTCAATGAATTATCTGCATAACCTTGAGTATGCACTGGATTGGGATGACGTGATGTAGTAGAATTTTTGATGTCCTGATGAATTACTTTTAGGAAATTTCCCATCTTTACTGCAATCAAAAGTTGCATACTTGACATAGTCTAGTAGTAATTCCTTGAGAGTTGTATAAGGAAGCGAAATGGGCTTTTCCGGCATAGCCAGAGTTCTTAACAAGCTGTATGCTTCTTTACCGATGAATGTGAGGAAATATGCCACAATATTAATATCCTCATCATCTTCCTTGGTCATGACCCAGATTTCGAACCTTTCGAAATAATCCTCAAAAGCTTCAGAAGTTGAATAAATGTCTAACTTTTCCATTGCAGGCTCAATCGCGACGCCAATATAATGTTTCGAATTATTTGAATTATAGCACGAACTAAGAGTCCAAGAAATAACGCAATTGAATTAAGAAGACACAGGCACAAACGAATGTACTGTATTTTGAATTCGAAATCGTGCAATCAACATGTACAAAGGCATCATTAGTCAATTCAAACACCATATATTCATATTATGAATAATACACTTACAATGAATTCTGAAATGGATAATAAAACTATTTGTCAACAATATTTTAATTTAAATGAAATAACATATATACCTGATATATATGAATTGAAACAACAACCTATATTAGTTTTAACAGATCAACAACAATTACAAACTATAACATCATTATCAAATTCTACACTTCAAATAACTCAATCATCACAAATTTCTGTAGATGATCAACAACATCAAATCACTTCACATGTATCTGATTTAGAATCAATAAATTCAAATAATAATAATAATAATTGCCATAGTAACTATAATAAAATCAATAATATTACAAAATTATCATTAATACCTATAATTTCAAATAATTCAATAAATAATAAAAAAAATTTATGGTTACTTCAACAAACTTCTGATAATTCAATAATAAATTCAAATATAAAACGTCATTTTAAACATCGTGTAACAATAAATCATCATTCTAATCAACATCCTATTTATTATTCACATAATATAAAATCTAATAAATTTGAATATAATTCATTTAGTGCTCCATCTTCACTTATATCTAATACAATAGCTACAACATATTCACAATTAAAAAATGAAAAAATTAAAGAGAATAAACAAATGAATAATGAACAATTACAATTATTATTACCTACATTATCAACAGTAAATTTAACAAATGATAATGTTCAATATGATGATTATGAAAATTGTTTAAATCATAAATTTCTAAATGATTTAGATATTAATTTAACTGAAAATAATATTGTAATTACTGAACCAATACAAATGACTGATCAATCATTTACAAATCAATCAATGACAAATGATTATAAAGTGAATTTATTAACATCTAATGAATGTCTTTCTTCTTCTTTAGAAAATCAAAAATTAGATGATTTACAATATAATACTAATCTTAATAATAGTAGTTATATTAATTTAGATAATGGTAATTGTCCAATTCGTTCACATTCATTTTTTCAATTACGTCAATTAGATTCTCTTAGTTCAACTGGATCTTATTCTAAACCTGATACAGATATATTATATCCTATGAATGGTTCATTTAATCAATTAGCTATTCGTGTTTCTTCATCACCTATATCAATTTGTAGTAATAATAACTTTTATCAACAGAATAATTGTTTAGAAGATCAATATAATAAAACTACTTTTAATGGTAACACTTATGGCGGTAGTAGTAACAAAAACAGACGGAGTAAATGCGAGAAATATATCAGTCCGGACAAACACACTTGCATTAGATCATATTCAGCTATGAGACATCCAAATGAATGCAATATACGTGTATTTCGTTCACCTCTCGATGTCCTTTCACCGTGTAAAGGTAAGAAATTTTGTAGTATTGTGTTAAACATTAAATTTTACAGCAAGAACATCCTTTGAAAACATAACGTACGCTGCTTATTTCTCTGAGTCAACTATAATCTCTCAAATAATTCCACAATTAAGTTTATATATTAGGGTAATGTAATGTTGAATAAACTCGTCATGCACCTATACTTTACACCTTGCATTTATCACAGAAGTCTGTTTTTAAAAAAACTGAATTAACTAATTTTCTTGTCACATAAACAAGTCTCTTTATGTAATAGTACATGTTAGTATATTTGAAACATTTCTCGACAGATAGCTGACGGATAAGTAGCCTGAACTTAATTATTGTATAAAGATCTCATCAAAAGTTGTAAACGCGTTTTGCGGATGAATATCAGTTATCGTAAAACTGTTAATCTATGACATGAGTACTTTTTATGTATCCTTTAATCCTATTAATAATCGTTAGGGTGCCAATTAGTCAAAGTGATAGTTGTTGTTGATGTCTTTGAGCCAGATGGCTTAACTGCTGAGCTTTCATTATCGTTCTAGGCAACACTGTCATTTATGTGGTGGATATCTTTTTCATCCTACCATGGGACTCTCCAGAACTTCCAACCCACGAAACATTAAGCGATCAAACTTAGGACCTAAAGATTTTGTGGCTAGCATCTCATCTTTATACCACGATTTCATATTCACAGATTTAGTCAGTATGCAGTATTGTGAAGCCACTGTCCATTAACATCAGTAATATATGTCTATTTTACTAGGACAAACTTTTTCCCCAGTATTACAGAGTTTTCGTTGGTTGTCCAACTAATCAGTTCATGGTGTAAACTACAAATAAAACGGTGACATAGAATTGAATATGCTAACATTTTTGACAGTTGTCATGAAATTTTCTCGTTTAACCTAGTGTTTCAAAAAGGTAATAAGTAATCCCTCTAGCTATGATATTGGTTGATATATAATCGTGTTTCAATTTAGAGAGAAGTTTTCTCAAACTTACATTCATGTTTAGCTGCCAAATCCATATAGCAGTTTACATGATAATCTTTGTCTTTGAACTATATAGATTGCTCAATACTTAAATATTCTAATGCTAACCTATAATGTTCAATATATTTTATGAATTATCAAATGTAGAATGTTAAATAAAATTACAGTAGGATAACTTAATGTTTTCAAGAAATTTAATAATTTAATTCATGAGTCAATTAAAGCTAGACAACCATGGAAAACCAGTAAGTTATGAACGGTCGTTTCGTCCTATTGTGAGACACCTCATCAATGAGCATCTACAATCTCGACTCGCGACATTCGAATCCAGGACCTATCAGTCTCGCGCGCGAACACTTAACCTCCAGACCACTAAGCCGGCAGTCAATGGTGTCATTGTCTAACTTCAACTAATCCACCAAATTGAGCGACACATCCACCATTGTCTTCAGTGACTTACAATCTAACAACAGACGTGGTTGAACTCCACTGGTCACTGCTTCTCATTAGAACTCCAAGAAATACCTCTTGAAGTCAGTTACTAGAGAGCATATGATGATTGACTCATCAATTTAATTATTAAATTACTACAGTCTTCACGAAACCCCTCTATGATTATTTTCAAGCAGTTATCCCTTAACATTTCTTATTACCACAAAGGTGACCGAATGTAAAAAAAGAAAAAACACTTTTTTAATGCAATAAATTATAATTTAAGCTATCCAAATACCAGATTGTTTAATAATCCGTATAAGATATTTGTATATATGGATAACACTGTAAAATCTTAGTTTGTCAATAATGGTGGTGCTAAATTCGTAAAAACAGTTTTTTTGGTACTTATTATTGGGTAATAATTTGATGTACTTGAGCTGTTAGTTTGGATGGTATTAACAAACCAGAAATTTACGGTCTAAAATACGAATGATTCACCACAAGTATATTATTTGTCATATGTGAAATTTCAGGTAACTTTAACTCATAAGAACTTTCTTTAAATGACAGCAACAATTAAAAATACACAATGCGGTTACATTGAACTAGTGAAACAACTATAAGAAAACTTTTTTTTAATGCTTTGGTCATCAATGATGTTACACTACTGTGGAACAAACTATCTACAAAAAAGATATTAAGCTAATCGACAGACAAATCCACTTTGGTTTAACTTAAGAAATATGTAAGTTTTTATTATACTTGAATTCATGAGTTATTTTAAGCAATACCGCCATGAAAAACCTGGAAAAACTGAACGACGTTTTCGTCCTATTGTGGGATTCCTCATCGACTGGCGTCAAGAGGTATTTCCTGGAGTTCTAATGAGAAGCAGTGACCAGTGGAGTTCAACCAGGTCTGTTGTTAGATTGTAAGTCACTGAAGACAATGGTGGATGTGTCGCTCAATTTGGTGGATTAGTTGAAGTTAGACAATGACACCATTGGCTGCCGGCTTAGTGGTCTAGAGGTTAAGTGTTCGCGCGCGAGACTGATAGGTCCTGTATTCGAATGTCGCGAGTCGAGATTGTGGATTCGCATCGATGAGGTGTCTCACAATAGGACGAAACGACTATTCAATACTTACTGGTTTTCCATGGTGGTTTAGCTTCAATGGACTCATTATCTCAACTATTGAAATTACAAACATTTTATTTAGGAGTCAAAGTAATCTATATTCTGAGCCTGAAATAAATGATCATGAATATAACATAATGTTCATTTATATATTGTACTGGTTAGGTAAACGTAATAATATAACTGACCGATAGGGATAATTCGGTGTTGTACTTTTTTTTATCTCCTCATCGATGTTTAGTACTGCAGTTGCTTATAAGCGATAGGATTATTAGCACATTTAATATATAATCACGTTTAGTTAGTGATAAAAGCATCTACAGTAAACAGTTGCTCTTTCATTATCACTTACTTACACTTTACTTACGCATAGGCCACCAACCAGGATTCTCCAACCAACTCTGTCCTGGCTTCTGCTTTGCAGTTGTTTCCAAGTACTATAAGTTCTTTTCATTTCTGCTTCCAATTTCTGATGCAATGTGTTCCTTGGTCTTCCTCTCTCCCTGTTTCTTTCAGGATTTCACGTTAGGGCTTGCCACTTGATGAAGTCTGATGAATTCCACAGTGTATGTCCTATCAACTGCCATAATCTTTTCCAAATTTCCCCTCAAGCTAAGTTGGTTTGTCGATTGCTATATTAGAATGTTGTTGATGGTATTCGGTCAACGGACATTGAGTACCTTGAGTAAACACTTGTTTATAAATTTCTGCACATTTTTGATGACGGTTGTAATAATTTTACAACTTTCAGCTCCGTGCAGTAGGACTGTCTTGATGTTCGTATTGAAGATTTCTTGATGTTGACTGACCGTTGTTTTGATTTCCATATATTCTTCAACCGTAGGAATGCCTCATTTGCTTTGCCAATCCTCGCCTTTACATCTACATTCGATCCTTCTCATTTATCGATGATAATGATCAGGTACGTAGAACTTTACAGCACCTTCGGAGTTTATCCGTCGAATGTTGTTGGTTTGGAGCTCTCTGTATTGCATTTCGGGATCTTACTTTCTCTCATGTGTATATTGAAGCCTACTGCTGCGTAGGCTGCTCCTATACTGTCCCAAGTTCAACGCATCTATTTACATCCAAGCCATCCATTTTATTCCAATCTTCCCTTCATATGTGAAGGTCTTCATTACCCAATCGATCACCAGAAGAAAAAGGAATGGTGAGAGTAAGTAGCCTTATCTAACACCGGTTTCGTCGCATTGATTATTTAACAATGATCCGTAGTGTTGTGTGGCAGTTTGTGCACGACGGAACCCATCCTGTTGATCCAGAAATTGAGTGTACGTTGAATATTTCTTTCTGTTTAGCATCACTCTGCCCAGGGTTTCGATAGACATCCATTCACTACGATAGGGCTTTCTGCGTTTCAGAACCCGTTTGCACGTTGAACTGAGTGCTTCTTTGATCCCCTTTTAATTGTTCTCCAAGTACTTTCCTCTTCTTTGAGTAGATATTGTAAAAATTGAATTTGTTGCTAAGAGCTATCCGGTATTCTCCGAGTTTGTCACTGTCACGAAGTAAGGGTGTACTACATCTTTATAATGCTGTTTCCCTAGCTGTTCAGCTTTTCTTTAGATTCAGTTTCATCTCGACCACCATCATGTAGTGATCTAAAACTACGTCAGCTCCTCTCTCGGTTCTCATGTCTTCGATGGATCTTCCGAATTTTTTAGTGATGTTAATATGATCCATTCGGTTCTCAATGGTGTGATTCGGTGAAATCCATGTAGCTTTGTGTATGAGTTCGTGTGGGAATATTGTGTCACCTTTTGCCATTTTTAAAGTCGCATGATCTCGAAAATCTGTTACCGTTTCCATCCCTTTCTCCTAGTTCATGTTGTCCTATGATATCTTCATCCGTGGTGTTATCCATTCCGACCTCAACATTTAAATCTCTGATTGTAAAATTCGACAATGGGAAGGAGGAATGTGTATATATTGCGAACAATTACTAATTATTTACAGAAAAATCATACATAGTCGTTGAATGTCTATTTGCATCTTTCGGCGTGCGCTGCAGTTTGAAAAATCTTCTCGCATGGTATCCAAGTGTTATGCTAACTCCGTGCTTTCGATATACTGAAGCTCTTCACTCCATCTGCAATTGTTACAACTTCGAGTCCACACTACTTAGAAACAATCTTCGGAGTAGTGCACATTACACCATCAGAATAGTCAGGTATTTTCCCGGGCATTTCTCTACGATTAACTTTTGCCTCTAATGAAACTGATCTTTAGCGTCTGATTCACTTTCACTAATGGGTACATAGCATTAGATAACAATTATTGAGATTTTCTCCTTCTTCGTATTGAAGGATGCTTTGATTATTCTGGATCCATGGAATTCCAATTCTATAATTGTTTTTCGTGCTTTTTGGATAGCATCAGTTTAATTCCTTGTGTGTGCGAGGAATTTTCTTCTTTA